CCATCCATCCATCCATCCATCCATCCATCCATCCATTCTGCCATCTATCCATCCATCCATCCATCTATCCATCCATCCATCCATCATATCTATCCATCATATCTATCTATGTATCTATGTATCTACCTATTTATCTATTATGTATCTATCTACCATCTATGTGTCTTTTTAAAAAGATTTTATTTATTTATTTGAGAGAGAATGAGATAGAAAGAGAGCACAGGAGAGGGGGGAGGGTCAGAGGGAGAAGCAGACTGCCCGCCGAACAGGGAGCCCGACGTGGCACTCGATCCTGGGACTCCAGGGTCATGACCTGAGCCGAAGGCAGTTGCCTAACCGACTGAGCCACCCAGGCGCCCACCATTTAGGTATCTATCATCTACCTATCATCTATCTATTTATCTATCTACTTATCAATCTTCTACCTATGCATCCATCCACCTAAATGTATCTATCATCTATCTATTTACCTATCTGTGTAAACCTATGTTCCATCAGTCATCTACCTGTCTCTATTATCTATGTATTGATCTGCACACATATATGATGCCCTTATTAAAAAGACCCTTCTCTGGAACCCAAGCATGTCCTGACATCACCGGGAGATGCACGTCTGTCTGTCTTCACCAGCACGTTGGGGGAGCGCTCTGCATCAACAAGAGAGAGGTTTAAACACCATCTGGAAAACAGGAAAATGTGTTTGCCCGGGGTGTGTCACACTGAACAGCTCCTGTCCCCGGGGGGTTGCCATCCAGAGGACAAGGGAAGGGGCCCATGCTCAGGTTCAAGCAGGTGCAAGACAATCGGGATGCCTTGGCCTCTCCTCCAATGTTCCTTTGGACTGTTTTCTCTTTGGTAGAAACTGGATGAAGACAATGAACCCAGCTGTAGTTAAACTATTGCATGGCACGTCGATGTGTTAACCTAGAGAAGAGATTTGAATTGCTATCTTTGAACACAGGACAGCTGTAGTACCTTGACTGTGGACCCACCCACCCCTCTTTCCATCGGCTCCTTCTGCAGATCTCGCCAACGTCTTAATGCACTTGCCTTTCTGTTTCCTTCATGGTGGCGGTGCCTGAAATTCCCATTATGCGCTGCTTGCAAACTGCTATTTCCCAGCAGGTCCCCAACCCCCAGGCCGGCTGGGTTTTCTTTCACAGAATGGCTGTTCACGTTAATTAATGCTTGCACACCGTGGCTTCCTGCCTTACAGACAGACGCTGCTTTGGCAGGTGCCCCTCAGAACTGCTGGGGAACATGTGCGTAGGGGGTGCGGCTTGAAAATGGAAAAAACAAAACAAAAAAAACCCCCCAACATTGTAATGCAAACAGAAAGCAAGGGACTTGTTGCACTTCAGAGAATCTGGTCTCTGGTTGGTGAGGTAGCCCTTTGGTTGTGTCCCACTCTGGGAAAAAGACACAGAAGGCAAGGAACCGCGATCGCGGCTGCTGTCTCGCGGGAGGCGGAGATTAAAATCTGCACACTCCACACACGTTTAGACAGACAACTGGCATGCAAATCATCTGTCATTTACAGTGTACTCGGGTTGTGCAATGCAGAGAGAAATAG